AGTAATTGCGGGGGAATGTATCCAAAAAAAAAAAAAAAAATAAATAAATTGCATTAACTATCAATGATTCATTAAAATTTTGGTAATGTTAACTTTAGTCTCAGATTCTCGGTGGCCGTTTAGGTCTGTCCACATGTGAGAAAACTGAAAAAACAATGCCATTGACACCTTGTTCAAAGCCGAGCTCATTGTAAAGAGTTTATACCGGTGCAACCGGCTAAATACCGCAACACAACGGCCGATTAAGAGCCGGAACAACTGATGATTGATTGTACAGTACAACTGGTTAAATGCCGAAACAAAATTGCTTAATGCCGAAACAACTAGGTGAATGCCGAAACCAACTTGCTTAATCCCGAAACAACTTGCTTAATCCCGAAACAACTTGCTTAATCCCGAAACAACTTGCTTAATCCCGAAACAGCTTTCTTAATCAAGAAACGACTTGCTTAATCCCGAAACAACTTGCTTAATCCCGAAACAGCTTGCTTAATCCCGAAACAACTTGCTTAATCCCGAAACAACTTGCTTAATCCCGAAACAGCTTGCTTAATCCCGAAACAGCTTGCTTAATCCCGAAACAGCTTGCTTAATCCCGAAACAACTTGCTTAATCCCGAAACAACTTACTTAATCCCGAAACAACTTGCTTAATCCCGAAACAGCTTGCTTAATCACGAAACAGCTTGCTTAATCCCGAAACAACTTGCTTAATCCCGAAACAGCTTGCTTAATCACGAAACAGCTTGCTTAATCCCGAAACAACTTGCTTAATCCCGAAACAACTTGCTTAATCCCGAAACAACTTGCTTAATCCCGAAACAGCCGACTAGTTGCGGGGACGGCTGAAAAAAAAAAAAAATGCCGGTTACGTTACAACTGACTAAATAACGGTATTACCGCAACACGTCCACGCCATTACACCCCGTAACAGTTTCCGTAACGCCACACCTGTGCACGAAAGGTGAATAAAAGCCAGGTGACTTGTTGTGATTAGAGGCGTCCACGTCTTGCGCACCGATATCTGCACCGACGTCCTCTCCGTCGTTGCAGCGCTGTCGGTTGATTTGTTCTCTTTCAACGTGTAGCGTATCACACACACACACACACACACACACACACACACACACACACACACACACNCCACACCCACACACACACACACACCCACCCCCACACACACACACACACACACACACACACACACACACACACACACACACACACACACCTCTTTCTATGTGTTGACTTTGTGTAAAGTAAAAAGATTATGCGGCAGTCGGCATCGACAATTGTAGCTTGCTTAAGCACTTTTTTATTATTTTTTTAAATTTTCTTGTAAATGACTAACTCGCACATACAATGAATAGGGCTTGTCATTTAATGGCGGAAATCTATTAATAGAACTGATGTCACCATTACTGATCATCCGGGTACTCAGCGCGGACAAAATGTCAACACTGTTCAGCGTTACTACGTTAATGAAGTGTCCCTGAAACTTGTTTACAACTCTGTTTTACGAAATATTTTACACATTTTTTTTTACTTCTGTTTTCTCAAATGCGACTTCATTGCGTGAACGTCATATGTAGCAGTAACTCTAGATACAAGAATCGCCCGAACGATATGCTGAAACACACTATAAGCTGCCATGTTTTAAGCAATATTTGTCCGCGGACCTTCTAAAAATAGTACGATATGACGTTTTCCGGTCTTAGAAATGACAAAGCCTATACTATTTAATGTGTGTGTAAATATACATCATTGTCAAGATGTGGTGAAAAACTTTAGGGAAAAGTAAACACACACCAAGCTCAGGCCCCAAACAATGAGGACTCATCAATGCCTGCGCATCAGTAGTGTAACGAGTGCTCGCCATTGGTTTAATCGATAAAATAAATTTAAAAATAACTAATTGGACAATGAAACTTTGAATCAACGGAACGTAAAGCTACAAAAGTCAGATTTTCCACCATGTACCCCGTCACTTGTAAACAGACAACAATTTTGGAGTCTTTTTATTCATTTGTGTCTTCCTTTTTCGATTTTAGCCGACATGAAATATTGCAAATTTTGTAAATAAAAAAAGGAAGAATTAAAAAAAAAAAGGGGGGGGCGGCAGAGATCTCAAATGTCCACATTTGGACTTAACGACGAATCGACTGAATCTAAGTTGTCCATTCTTTGTGTCCCAAAGACGAATCGACTGAACCTAAGGTGTCCACTCTTTGTGTCCCAACGACGAATCGACTGAATCTAAGGTGTCCACTCTTTGTGTCTTTGCAGATGAGGGCCATTCTTGTGTGGTTCTGTTGCCTGCCATAGACAGTCTCCCAAAGAATGGCACACGGCTGACGTCACGTGGATCACGTGGGTACCTCACGCGTCATTTCACACGTTTTGGCGCTGATGCAAACTTGACCAATTCAACCCCACCCCCCACCCCCCTCTTTTTTTCCTTATACATCTTGTTAAGTCTTCTCTGTGTATTTCACTGGAACGAAATAATGGCAAACATATTTGTTTTCATTTGACCGATATTAATTAAATAATTTAAAGAAATAATAATAAAACTATAGTCAACACTTGTGGCTCACGGTGATATAGAAGAATAATCGATTTGCAAAGTTACTAACGTGTACTTATATACTCAACTTCAATCCAAAAATCTCAGAGACGACTCTCATTTAAAAGAGAGCAGCACTATAGCTATCATAGTATTTATCTTTTTTTTAAAAAAAATCATCATTGAAACTACAGACACCTCGTTTCCCTCTGGACATTCTGTTCTATATCTCTATAGAATTTCAATTCCTACCCATTTTCTCGGGACATTCTATCTGTCCTATAGCTTTGGATTTTTTCATCTCTCCCACTCCCTCTGAACATTCTGCTCTATATCTCCAGGCTTTCGATTCCTCCCAATTTCTCTGGACATTCTATATATTCTATATCACCGGACTCCCCCCCCCCCCCCTTTTCTTTTGCTTTTTTTTATTTTTTTTTTTTTTTTATCTCATTTTTTTTTTTTTTTTTTTTTTTCTCTCCAATTTTTTTTTTTTTTTTTTTTTGTTGGTAGTTCCGCTTATTGTAGTTATCCGATGCATTTAATAATTAACAATAAAGTATTAGCGGGATTAAAAAAAAATCTGTATCTTAACCCTTGGTTTATACCGGCGCGATACGCCCATGAATGGGATATCTTGGTCTTTAGCGTGTACCTAAAACCCGTGACGTGCCACCCCCCCCCATCATCATCATCATCATCCGGGTGTGCCATCTGGGGAAACGTCATCGGTTATCACTCTTCATCTGTGTCCACTTGTCAACGTTTCCATTCATGGCAAGGGCCATGCACGTCACACCCACCATTTCCTGTTCTTCCTGTCTATTTAAGTCTATACGTGTTTCCTTTTTTTATTTTTTATTTCCTTTTCAAACAAAGAAAACCGATGCAAACATTTTGGATTAACGTTAACATTGACCGAACGGAACACAAATGACAGTGTTACCAGTTTGCCAGTGTCTGCATGGTAGAGGAAGGCGAGACAGTACCTCACAAAAAAGAATTACTAACATAGGATTTACTTTGTTTGATTTCGAGGAGATTTTCAGGGACACAGGATATTTCATTTCGAGCGTATTTTTTTCTCCCCAATTCCCTTTCTAAATGAACATGTAAAGGAGGTTCCTTCTCTTGGGAGGGTATGCTGAAGTCTCCAGAAGAAATCCACCGGGGGAAAAATAGGGAACCCATCATCCAAAAGCGGGAACCCTTCATCCGAAAAAGGAGGGGTCAATACCATGGCGTCCTTGACCTGCCACGCCATGTTGCCGACGTCAGCGGGCGGTCAGGGTCCCGCGACGGCCACGGCCCAGGCATTGCCGGTGCATCCGGTCTGTCTCTCATCCACTCTCATCCTCGCCTGTATCATCTTAGCCGCCGTGACCGCCGTGGCTGCGGGCGATGTCCGGCACGTCTCGGGGATGTACTCCGACGGGAAGGCCGGGGGCGACGGGGGCGGCCAGGTGCAACACGTCGTCCGAGTCATCGAAAGCAGCAGGGGCATCAACTCACAACGCACCACCTCAACAGGCACCGCCAGCACCACCTCAACCCCCACCATCATCACTGTCACGGACCCCATCGCACAAAGAAGCGCCAGCAGAGCTGGCGAAAATCACCCTGTTACATCACATTGGAGTTTCCTGCAGTCCGTCAAGCACTTCCTGGAAAAGGGAGATCACGGTCAGAAGTTCTTGAACAGATTCGGATATTCCCGCATCAGTTCAGACGCCTTCGGAAGTCCGTATCGAAACAAGAATGCCATACAATACTCAAAAACCAAAGATGACATCTACCTGGGCAAGGATAAAACGCAAGAAGGACAGCTGGTGAGTTTCGAAGACGCTCACGCCAAAATCGGTCAATTAGAAGGTTCTCAAAATTCAATGGATGGGAGCAGAAAGCCGCCACGCAGACATGCGCGAGAACACGAAAGAGCGATCCACAGAAGAACTCGGATGAACCGGCACAAGGTCGCGGGGGGTTACAACAACACGCACCTGCACGCCGGTAGGTGGTCAGCCAATCACGCATCGCCGTCCTCAAAGCGCATTTGGATTTTACCAGGTCCCTCGGCGGCGAGTTCCTTCCATGTCTGGGGTACATCCGCCAGCACCTGGCCGCTCTACGGGAAAGGAGCTCCCTACTCGCTCCCCGTCTTACTTCCACAAACAAGGGCCCACACGTTATTCGTCCCCAGCGGCGCCGTTCATCCGAAACCCGGCTCCTCGCGATCCCAGGCTACGGACGTCGATCAGCAACAACATCATGTTATCTCGCGCTCCTCGGGCCACGGCGACGACACACCGCAACCGCACGAACGTCGTTTCCGTTCAGTGGATAACAGTGGCGTCATGACGCAAATGCCGAAACGGAAGCCGCGGTCAGTGGATAATGAACCCGACGGGGGCAACCCGATCTCAGGCGACGCCCAGGTGTCGGAGGCCCTCCATCAAGTGGAGGAGCTCCGGTCTCAGACGGCGCCCTGCCCCAACGGGAGCAGGATCGTTCTCCTCAAGCCCATGAATCTGAGCTCCCATATATTCTTCCCCGTGTTCGCCGACGTCGTGAACAAAACCGTCCAGATGGCCAACACGATCAGCGACCTGCTGCTGTTCACCGACAAATCGCCGGAGTTCTTCTTGGATCTGTTCTTCGTCATGACGCAGTCTCTCGTGGAGTCGGGGACCCAGGTCCGGGGTTGCGCCATAGCGGTCAACCTGATGACAGGGGCTGGTCCCATGACGTCGGCAAAACCCCAACCGTCCGCGGATCCTTCCCTTGGGCCGGAGACCCCGAAAAACGCCACGGCGTCGTACAGGGAGTCCTTGTTCCCATACGCGTACCGGACGCAGGCCGGCGAGGTTGTCGTCACCGACCTGTCCAAGGTCTACCGTTTCAACCGCACCAACTGGTACTCGCACCACGTCAACAGGTCCGCCGACGGCCTCCTGAAAGCGCGGGACCGGATCTTCACCGACAAAACAGATGTCGGCGTGCTGTCGCCGTACCTTGGCAAGTGGAGCAAGGTCGTGTCGGTGGCGCCCGAGGACGGGTTCTGGGCCAAACCGTACTACGACTGCCTGCTGGAGAACTGGGTCATCCAGTACTCGGTTCCTTTCTACCAGCAGAAAGGAAGCAGACCAGAATTTAAGTGAGTACCAAAAGCCAACCAGCACCACCTGTTCCTTCTAGTGTTAGAGTAGAAAGTGTTGGTGTTTTTTTAAGTGTCTTTTTTTAAAGCAGTCTCTCTTCTTTGGTGTTGTTATTTTCTTTTCTTTCTCCCCCCCCCCCTTTCTTCCGGCCCGGGGGGGGGGCGGTGTCGAGCATTCTTATGAAACGAGCTATTATCGAGCATTGGATCCCTAGCCACTGGGCGAAGCGTTTCCGAGATTAAAAAAAATAAATAAAATGCGTAACTTACTTGTTGAAAGAAAACGACCTTGACACTGACTTTCATGGACTAACGCCTGACGAGGAGAAGTTTTGGTTGAAACAACCCAGGGATTTTTTTGGGGGGAGGGGGGGTTGGGGTGAATGGGGTGTTAGTAAGAGGCATGACGTCATTCATGTTCACTTTTGCTCATATGTAAAAAAAAAAAAATTAATGGAAGCAAAATATTAGTCGCTACAAATTGGACACTGTAGCCCCGAGGATCTACTGAGGCAAGAGTATGAAATTGTCATAGATATTGCTGAGAAATTAGTATGAAATTGCCATAAACATTGCCCGAGACATTACTATGAAATTAACCCAAGGATGTCTTAGAAATATATTCCTGAGAAATCGCTATCTTACTTGAACAGAACTTATTCTCCAAACTGCACAGAAATTGCTATCTTACTTGAACATAATTTATTATCCAAACTGCACAGAAATTGCTATCTTACTTGAACAGAACTTATTCCCCTAACTGCACAGAAATCGCTATCTTACTTGAACAGAACTTATTCTCCAAACTGCACAGAAACTCCCATCATTGTGGCTCTAAAAGCCCAATCTACGTTACGTGTAGAAATTAGTGCCCGAGTTGCACAATTTTACCCACATTGCACCGACAATTTCATCCACACTGCCCAGACAAAATTGTCCACATTGCACAGAAAGTTTTAACCGCAAAGATAAATCGCTTCTGCGCTAGCTCATAACTGATTGTCCACACTGCACAACAAATAGCTCTGCCCCTCTCTCTCTCTCTTTCTCTTTCTTTCTCTCTCTCTCTCTCTCTTTCTCTCTCTCTCTCTCCTCTCTCTTTCTCTCTCTCTCTCTTTCTCTCTCTCTCTCTCTCTCTCTTTCTCTCTCTCTCTTTCTCTCTCTCTCTCTTTGGTTCAACCAAGATGCTATATCACTGTGATTAGTTCCTTTACATCACGGATTTGTTTCTCCGTCTCGTAACAAAGAATTTAAAATGATTTTGTACAAAGTCTTGATCTGCCGCCATTTTTATATATGCTTTTATTTTTTTTTTTATATCCTTCTGTGCGAGGAAACCTCTTTTAGTTTTGCCCCCCTAAATAGAAGTGTGTATATTGCTGTCCACAGATACTACTTACCAGCTAAGTGCTATTTCTTTTTTTTTATTTTCATACCGTTTTTTCTGTTGTTTTTTTCGCTGACGAAGGCTTTCTGCCGACACGTTCGCTGTTTTGTTGCGTTTATTTTTTCAGGTTTAACCCTACTCTGTTTTACTCATTTTATTTTGTACTAGCCTGATGGCAGTCTCTCCCCTTATCACCTATACTTAGTCCTTGTATCATTCTTTCCCTCATCCCCACCTATACCCAGTCCTTGTATCACTCTCTCCATTATCCCCACTTATACCTAATCCTTGTATCATTCTCTCTATCATCCCCACCTATACTTAGTCATTGTATCATTCTCTCTATCATCCCCACTTACTTAGTCATTGTATCATTCTCTCTATCATCCCCACTTATATAGTCCTTGTATCATTCTCTCTATCATCATCACTACCAAAACCTGGTCACTGTATAATTATCTATATCATTATACATAAAAAAACATATAGTATTTGACTCATTACCTCTATTTCTGCTCACCAAACAACTCTAAATGCCGATACGCCTTGATTGCCTGATTATCTGAGCCACTCACCTGGCTGCACGGAGCCTTCTGTCCTAAATAATCATATTCTCATCAACATTCCAACGTGGGCCTGTCATGTACACCATCCCAGTGGTTCTCATAAACATTCCACTCGTGCACACTGGCCCAGCGGTTCCTATTAAAAGTCTAACATGGGGCCTGTCTTACACTGTCCACTGGTTCTCATCAACATTCCAACGCGGGCCTGTCATGTACACCATTCCAGTGGTTCTCGTATAAATTCCCTTCGCGCACATTAAACCAGAGGTTCCCATTAAAAGTCTAACATGCTTTGACACAGTCCACTGGTTCTCATTAGTTTCCAACACAGGGCCCGACATAAAGGAATAAATGTGAATTCGATCTCATCTCACCAGCTGCCCTAAGTATTTTAAGTCTTTTCTACCATGATAATACTTTAGAAAATACGTCAGCACATGTCGCAAACTGTTAAAGTGGCGGTCTATACCAGAACAATTCGGGAACTATTGCTCTAGGCCAGTGGTTCTCAACCTTCTTGATGCCGCGACCCTTTAAAACAGTTCCTCGTGTTGTGGTGACCCCCCCCCCCCAACCATAAAACTATTTTCGTTGCTACTTCATAAATGTGTGTTTTCCCGATGGTCTCAGGCGACCCTTGCTAAGGGTCGTTCGACCCCTTCAAAGGTGTCACGACCCACAGGTTGAGAACCGCTACTCTTTGTAAAAAAAAAAACAAAAAACAAAAAACAAAACAAAAACAAAACAAAAACGATGAATTTGTTTACATTTAAATTGTAAGATAGCTACGTGGAGCAAACCAACCATCGTTCATTGGCATTTCGACCTAACTGTGCTGAAATGAACATTTGAAAATCAATTTGAAATTAACCAAATGGGAAAGTGACTGGACCTCGAATAAATTAATATATTATTGAAATCAAGGTTTCCCAAACTGAGGTCCTCCCACCCCCAAAGGGGGGGGCGGGTTGTGGGGCCCTCATGTGGCATTGCAAGTGGGGTGGGGGGGTGTCGACGAGGGATTATAAGAGCATAGGAGACATTAGCTGGTCTTAAGTTCCTATAGTTACATATACATTTCTTCACTTCTACAGTTCTCTGTGCAATTAAATGAACACAGTAGAATTCCAGTATATTCAGATTTTAAAATGCATCGTTATTATTGTAAGGATTGTGATACATCGTATTTGGTGCGAGATTAGTTGAATGATTCGTAATTGGTGCGAGATTAGTTGAATGATTCGTAGTTGGTGAGTGATTAGTTGAATGATTCGTAGTTGGTGAGAGATTAGTTGAATGATTGGTAGTTGGTGACAGATTAGTTGAATGATTCGTAGTTGGTGAGAGATTAGTTGAATGATTCGTAGTTGGTGAGAGATTAGTTGAATGATTCGTAGTTGGTGAGAGATTAGTTGAATGATTCGTAGTTGGTGAGAGATTAGTTGAATGATTCGTAGTTGGTGAGAGATTAGTTGAATGATTGGTAGTTGGTGAGAGATTAGTTGAATGATTCGTAGTTGGTGAGAGATTAGTTGAATGATTGGTAGTTGGTGAGAGATTAGTTGAATGATTGGTAGTTGGTGAGAGATTAGTTGAATGATTCGTAGTTGGTGAGAGATTAGTTGAATGATTCGTAGTTGGTGATAAATTAGTTGAATGATTCGTAGTTGGTGAGAGATTAGTTGAATAATTTGTAGGGGGTGCGAGATTAGTTGAATAGTTCGTAGGGGACAGTGGGGGCAGTGCACCGCACTGGGTGACACAACCTCAAGGGGGGGGGGGAGGGTAATCACAAGTTGAAAAATTGCCTACAGCAAACAGCTCATTAAAAGTTCAAGGTTGATGCGTTAGAAATGCCGTAACCAGAAAAACATTTTTTTTTTACCATCATTCAACGCCAATTGAAGTGTTCGGTAATCCATCGTGGAAGTCCGGGGGTTGACACTAAGATTTTACCGCACTGGATGACACAAACCCTATTGCTGCACCCCTGGTAGATGGTGCGAGATAAGTTGAATAATTCGTAGAGGGTGCGGATTATAGGAAAATTAGAGGAACACTGTAAACATCTTCAAATATCCATTTTAATTTCTACTACACGCATTCACTCCCACACCCGCCACTTCTAACTACTGTTACATGCAACACCTATAAATACTTCCCTATGAACCAACTATACCCACTGCAAAAAAAAAACAAACAACCTAATCCACTGCCATCATATCCACCACGTTTATCCATGACGTTATCCAGTACTTTATTCGTTAACTCTAGCAACCAGTTATATCCACTGCAAAATCCGCCCACAAGTATCTGCTAGAACATCTTCCACCTTTATCATTGCCTATATTATATATTATATAGTAAAGGAGCCAGAATGATCAATGCATTGATCGTGGGCCCTTAATATATAGAAGAAGAAGAATTGTTGTATCCGCGACATGGGGCCCACTGCCATACCCACAACTTGTATCCAAGGCCATTTCATCAACTTAAATCCAGCACCCTACCACCAGCTTCAACAAAGGCACGGCAACACCATCTCCCCCCCCACCCCCCCCCCCCCCCC